AGTTGGGGTCTGACAGAGGCGGGAGCAGATGTGCGGAGGAAGAAACATTAGGGATGTGCACGGCGGGCACACGTGCGGCGCCCCCCAACGTAAGAGCGAAGACGATGCCCACACACACACACACACACATACAAATTGTGGGTGGCGGGAGAGGCCTCTGACGTGAAGGTCGCGGGAGAAGAAGTGTCATTGGCAGGCCTCCCGCCTCCAGCTCCTTTCCGTACTGCATGGACCTCCCCCCCCCCCGCCCCCACCCCTCGTACACCCCTTCCCATCGTTTTTTTTTCGTGTTCCGCAGAGAGGGGGGGAAAAAAAAAACTTCTTCCTCTTTCTTGTTAAAAAGCCCCGATGCTTCCCCCTCACTCTCTTTCTCTCTCTTTTTTTTTTCATTGCCTTCCCTCCTTTCTTCCAACAGCAGGAAGTAGCCCAAATATAAATACGTGGAATAATCAATAATAATAATAGTAATAATAATAATAAAGGAAAAAAGTTTTGCAGGACAAAAGCGAAAAACGTGACAAAAAGAAACATCGCCCGTCCCTAGAGAGCACGTGAACCCCAAATCCATCCATCCTCTCTACTCTCTTTCATACCCCCAGCTTGCGCTGCTGCAGAAGGGCCAGCACCGTTTTTACTGGCTTTTTTGCTGTTCATCCTGGCACTGTAAAAAATAGTCCCACGCCCATTTGCAGTTTTCCGGGTGCTCTGCATTTGACTCAAGACACTTGGAGTACGACTTGATTTGCGGAGAGCAGGCACTATCGCCGACTTGTCGTGCCATCTCCTGTGCCTCTGCGGGCTGCGTGGGAGGCTGTTCTCGATTGAACAGCATGTTGGAAATACCATGGCCAAGGACGGACCCCGCGGCAACAGAGGCCATGGTGCCAAGGATACCTGTGCCACCACCGCCACGTTGCAAGTAAACGTTTGTCACTTGCGGCTGCTGTGGGGTTGAGGCCGTCTGATGTGTGTGCTGCTGCTGCTGCTGCTGCTGGTGTGGCGGGGGAGTGTGGCGGGCCGGCGGAGGTGCAGCGGAGGGGCGGGAGTGCGAGGGAGATGCACGACGTGAACGAGCCATTGTGTACCTTGCTGTCTCTCTCTCTTTTAGTGGAGATGTGTCCTTTGCGCTACTTCCTATGCCAACGGCGAGACGCTCCTGTTGCAGTGGTATCTTCCCGCGAAACAAATTAGAAAACGAGAAGACACGAAGAAAGAAGGTCACTCGAGCAAAGAGAAGTCACAGCTCAACTGAGATGTTTTCTTCTTATTTCATCCGTTTCTTTCTCGGTTTCTTGTGATGCGCTTCTGTGCCTATGGAACGGATTCCACAGGCACGGTTTGCTCAGTTCAGCCCGAAGGTATTGGAAGAAGAAACAAAGAAGCAAACACACACACACACACATACACATACACACAGAAGCAAATATAGGGGGCATCCTCAAAAAAAACATAGTGGGGCAGGAGGGGAAGAGTGCAGCGGCGACTGCGTCTGTTTACAGTTTCACACAACTGATACTTAAACGTGTTGGCATCTTCGTCACCCATTCGATTTTCTCGCCCCAACGCGTACAACATTCTCCGCATATTCTTCGTCCACACCCAGGCTCCTCAATTTGCCCCTCTATCCCTTTTGCTCGCGTTGTTCTTTCGTTTTTCTGGTTCTTGCTTTGATCCATAATGTCATCTGGCACATTTTTTTTCTCTCAGTTTTTTTTTCGTTCCTTTCTCCCCCCCCGAACATCACGGCTGCGGCGACGCATACTTCTTTGTCCATTCCCTCGCCGTCCGCATCGCCGCGGCTTCATCCCGCTTCCAATTCTCTGCTACCTCGTTATCTAGCGGATCATCGGGGTTAGGGCTTGCCATGAGCAGCTGTATGCTCAACAGCACCTTGATAATCTGTAGCGCCGGCGACCACTTGTCCTTGATGATGTCAAGACAGATGCGGCCCAGCTTGTCCACGTTCGGGTGGTAGATGCGGGTGATAAACCGCACGCGGGGTGGGACCATCGGGTACTCCTCAGGAAGAAAGAGTTCGAGGTCGAAGACGCCACCCTCGTAGCTGCTCTGCGGCGGGCCGCGGATTTTCACATGGAAGTGGCGCGGGTTGGTGGGCGACGGCCTGGCCTCGATTCCCTCCGAGCGCTCCCGCTGCAGCTTCTCCGTCTCCTTGATGATCCGCGTGGTGAGCGTCATTGGCCGGGGGGCGGTTGTGTGTTCGGGCGGGTGATGGGTTATCGGGTGCTGCGTTGCGTGTTAATGACTTCGGTTGCGCTTCCCGTGCGACGGGGGGTTGCAAAGGGTGGGGGGATCACGCACGCACGCACGCACGCAAAGCACGAGGGGGCGAGAGTGGGAAAAGAAAGAGAACTGTAGTGGCAGGCAGTGCAGAAGGGGCAGGGGAGCAAGGCGCCAGACACGCACGCGGCGAAGGAAGTGAAAGGAGTGCGCGTCCATCCTGCAGGTGCCCTCACTTCTCACCGATCCCATGCAGGGCCGCAGAAGAAATAGAGAGCCGGACGAAAAGAAAAGTAACGGGGGTGGGGTGGCGTGCAGTGGAAACAAGTAACCCCCTTCCCGTCGTGGGCGAAGCTAACAAAAAGTAATACGCGTCCCGCACGAAAAAAAAGGTAAATAAAAAAGAAACAACAAACACTCCACACAGCCACTGCATACACCAGGAAGCGAACGCCAACTGTGACGCAATGAAAGAGACGTAAAGTCGCATAAAAGAGGGAACGTAAAGATTTCTCGCGTTCGCGCTGCGCACGTGGTCATCTGAGGCATGCGCATAAGTACAGATGAAACGTAGCGCCAGCATGTGACCAGTACCACAATCAAACCAAAGCAAGAAGGCGCGGATTACCAAAAAAAAAAAACGGCCTACGAAGCCAAAGAAGAACGGGGCCGCTTTCGGTCCAAATGGCCACAACTTTTGTAAAGGAGCATGGGACAAAGTAAAATGACGCGTTGTGTCATCGGGTAGCATACGTCTAACATGTAAGCCAACACACCTGTCGCTGCACCCTTTGTACACTCACCCATTCTCTGCATCCCCAACTCGCCGCGTACGTCTGTCTCTCTCTGTCTCTGTGAGACTGAATGTCTGTACTGCATACGACCACTTCGAGTATGAGTGGACGAATTCCATGGAGGCTCGAGAAGAGGTGCGTCGCATAATAAAGCACGAAGCTCAAAAAGAGAAATCACACCAGGCTATCGCCATCTGGGGTGAAAACAAAAAGTGAATAAAAAACAATAAAAACGTCAGTGCCAGATGAGTATATAAGTGGAGCACATGCGGACGTCTATGAGATATATATATATATATATACATACAGACGCATAAGTGTAGTATGGGTATATAGACATATGCAGGTATATAGTCAGGTAGGTATATATAAAGTTACATTGTGGCATAGGTGCAGAAATAAGCAGATATATAAACAGAAGATATATATATATATATAGTTTTAGAAAGAAAGGCAATGTGCGGTGGGATCCCACACGACGCGCAGCCATTCAATACCTGCAGACTGAAAAGAAAAAAATAATAATATATCACACCGCATGGAAGAAGAAGCAACAAGTGGTTGGTAAATGCGTCTTTGCAGAATCAAAACAGAACAAACCCTCCCTCCAGAGCAAAGGGCTGAGCCGAGTGGGAAGGGACGCAGTAAGTGCCACCTGCTCCCCCCCCCCTCCTCCCAGCCGAGGGCACGCAGAGGCGCACGCGCAGCCTCCCACTCGGCAGAGTCACTTACGTTAACGGCATTCACCGTCATCGCTAGGACAACTATCCGCACCCTCAACACTTCACTGGGGCCAATCCAAAGAAAAAAAACCTGGAGGTAAAAATGAAAACAACCATAAAAAAAAGGGGGGTTTCCGTAGAAGAAAAAAAAAAGAATGTGAAAGTCAAAATAAAAAAGTGTAGGGTGCATGGAAAAGATGCATACATCCACATACAAGCAAGCATGACGCAAAACCAAAAGGCAAAAAAAACATAAGAAATAGAAAAAAAGAAAAACGCCAAAAAAAATAACGACAATAAGAAACAAGAGACTTCCTCCTCCTCACGCATGTGTGTATGCACACATGTCTATGCATATATACATAATCAATTAAGTAATTTATCCTTGCGTGTGTGCGCCTGCGTACACATGCGTGCATCTATCGGCCTACAAGCGTCACAAGTCAAAATGGACTTCGCGGGTGAGTGGGTGAGCAAGATCCCTCAGCCTCACGCGTTCCTAGCCCTCATGCTAGGTGCCTGGGTAGAGCAGGGTATGTGTAAGAGAAGCATTAGCGTTAATAAAGAGGGGGCATTACCATCACAGCAGTGTCGCGATTTTCGCGACAAATCAATGGGTAAAAAAACGCACGCACACACACTTGAGAAAGCGAGTGTGTGCAATAGTTAATAGCAAAATAAAAACAATAACAAAAAAGAAAAAAGTGCTTCGGAGACGAAGAGCAGCCCTGCAGAGGGAATCACAAAAGCGCAAACAACGCGGCCCAAAGTGTTTGTTTCCCTCCTCCCATTAACACTCGCATCACGGTCCGTCCCAGGTCTGCGCCTTTGCTGCTGTGTCCACAAAACGCTGCCGTCGAAAAGGCTTGAGTGAGGGCGGGCGAAGGAGCCCCAGGAGAGTGCACGGTTGCATGTGTGTGTGTGTGTGCGTGTGTGGGCGGGGGGGGGGGGGGCGAACACTAACTCCACCGTTCGTTCCTTGTCTCAACCTCCAAGCAATTGTCGGACAGCTCCTTCACTATTCCCACCATGCTGTACAGCTCTTGCTGAGCCGCCTCGTCGGCGTCGCGGATGACGTCCTGAGCACCGCAGGAGGGAAGCCCTCCCCACGGCTCAAGGACTCCGCCGGCGTTTTCGCCGCTCTTCAGCTTGTGGCGCACGACACCCATTGGGGCAACGCGGGACGCCGCCCATTCCAGCTCCACTGCACCAGAAGCGACAGCAAGGGCGGCGCCAAAGAGAGGATGCGACTCCATCCAAGCCAGGGGCAGGCGACGCAGCTGGCAGCGTTGGCGAAGGCCACCTGCGCATCCCTCCTGCTCAACATTGCCTTCATCCTCATCCTCTCCTGCGGCCACATCCATTACGAAGAGCAGAATCCGCTCGCTGGCCAGCAGAAGTTTCTCCAACTTGGTTTCATAGCGGGCGTGAAACTCATTCTTCTCGGCAAGTAAGTGCGGCCACCACAGTTGCACATCCTCGTGATCCTCCATCTGCTCGTCCTTCATCGTCCTTAGCAGTTCTTCCTCTTCGCCATGGGACTCTGAAAGGAGTTCAAGAGCGACCGCCCACCAGCGGGGTTCTTCCACGCGAAATCCACATACTCTGAGAACAACCGACTCCACGTGGATAGTATCCTTCACTTTAAGTACATGCTGGTGACGAAAGAATGTTTCATCAAGGATACGGAGCAGTGCTACAGCACTGGCGTCGACGTCTGCATACTTCCAGCACGCAAGAAGGCAGGCGGCCATAACAAGGAGATGCTGACTTGCAGTAAGGGCATCAAAGTCTTTCACCTCATCCCTACACGTCACGGTGTAGGCATAGCTGGCCAGTAATTGCAGCGCCGTCAGCGGAACCTCCACTCCCTTTTTCCAGGAGAACTGGTGACCCTCGAGAGCAAGAAGAAAACCAAATCCCATCGACAACATGGTGGCGGCAAGCTCGTGGTGACGCTGCAGAAACCAAGACAGCGCCACAGGGGCCGTCTTGGGCTGACACGGAGTTCCTCCTGTGTAAGATAAAGGGAAGTTCCCCGAGGGAAGCAGTCGCACCTTGACAAAGTCCGACCCCCCAGAAAGGAGAGAGTGACGCTCTCCCTCCTCCTCTTCCGGTAACAGAGATTTTGTTTCCGTCTTTCTGACCACCGCGTCCGTGTACGAAAGAAAGGCTGTGAAAAGGGGTCCACTAATGTCCACGGCAGCATAAACGGTGGGTGGTGCACACGGCCTTTGTGATGGCGGTAGAGATTTTGTCACCACTGCCGCCCCGCCATGGCCTCGCCGCGTAGTCTGTGGCATGTCCACCTGCGTCGCCGTGGGTGGAAGTCGGCACTGTTCTGTGTTCTGTCTGTACACGCCTTCCACCTCACTACTGGTGGGAGGAAACCTTTGCGTGACGCAGGCCGTCGTAGTCGAGGCGCCACCCTCGCCGTCAAGGCTGGCACCGAACTCGCCTGTCCCACTGGTGGACCCGGCATAGACGGAAGTGAACGGAGACGCGGTGCAAACGTGCGCCGGCTCGCTTTTCCTCCTTGCCCCCATCTCGGCCAGAGTGTCGCGCCTCTTGGGCGACGTCCTCCTGGCAGCGTCACAGAAGCCCATTTTTCCGCCTTCTTCCCCTTTCCTCTTTTCTGTTTCTTTGGCACCCGCCACTCGCAGGCTGTCCGCGGTAGTCAGGGCAACTCTCTGTGTCAAGTTGCTTTCTTCCGCAGAGGCGGGGAAAATAAACAAGCGATGAGGCAAGAGGAAAAATACACATGCGGGGGCAGCCGCCGGAAAGAAAACAACGGCGACGAACACAAGCATTCAACGACGACAGTCGCATCGCCTTGCACCCCCCAACAACACGCCCGGAAGACCAAATAGTGTTGGGTGTCTGAATGACGACACAGCGGCAAGAAGGGGACGGCGCAGGGAAAGGGTACGATCGCAAAGTACACAGAAACATAAAACGGGGAATGAGGAATTCCCCCCTCCCCCCGCCTCCGCTCACTTTTTAACTCTTTCTGTTTCCGTATTCACTCCCCACTGACTGGGCAAAAACAACAACAACAACAACCAGAGGAAGTAGGAGGGAAAGCAGGCGCAAGCAAGCACATTGCCCCAGTAGTGTCCGCAACGGAGAGTGGCCACAAAGCAGCTTTGCGCTTCCATTGCGCGTCTGTGATGCACCATCCACGCTTTGGATTCCTTTACGTGCGATGCCCTCAAATGTGACTTGGTGCTCTCTCACCTCCAATTCACGTATCCCCCATTCTTCGGGAGGGTAAGAGAGCACTGCACGTCGCACAGCACAACCACGTACCCAAGAGGTCCATTACCACCTGCACAATGGGGGCGGCATGCTCAATGTTAACCCCAATGAAGTCCAGTACATACGGTAGTGTTGCGCCAATCAACACGGAGGTTAGAACAATAAAAAAGAGGGAAAGGGAAAGCGCCATCACGAGCACTGAGCCATTGCTCCACTGCGTTACTGTTGGCCAAGAGGATACGTTCTTGAGCGCCCTGGTGGGGTGTGCTTCACTATTACCAGCAGCATCCAACCAGAGAAACAAAATCACCCGCAGCGCCCCAATGCACATAAGGATAAGGCTACAAAAAAAAGCAACAATCAACTCGTGTCGCAGGACGGCAGGGAGGGACAATACCACTGGTCGACGTCTTCTTTTACTGGCACCACCACCGTCAGTAGTCAACGCTTTCCCACACCACTGCGGCAGTAGTCTTTTCAGGCGCAGGAACCAAGGAAAGCGGATCACAGGCACCTCCCATCTCGATAACCGCAGGTTGCAAGAGACGTGGGGCGATTTGAGCACGGAGAGGGGGTAGCCGCTCTCGGACGGTGAACAGTCTACTATGGTGCACTCTGTGCTTCGTAGTGGAGCCTCACCCCCGCCACTGCTACACTCACTGGAGGCCAGGACGGCCGTGATGACCGCAACCGCTGCCTGGTTGCCTGCGTTCCCCCCGGCCCCGACAACCATGCCCATGAAAAGCACAATCGCCACCTGGTTCGTTATGAGCTCCTCGTGCCGCTGCAACACCAATTGCGAGCCAGACTGCAGGGCAAGTAAGGCGGCAAGCAGCACAAATCGCTTTATTGCCGTGGTGTAGGTGGATCTTTCCAGCAATTCACCCGGCATACATCGAGCTGCCACGCTACTGCAGGAGAAACGCCTTCGAATAACCGCCCAAGTTATTCTGCCCCTTCCAACACAACCGTCTTTCTCCCTCGCCCGCACCGCAGCACCGCGATCCCGAGCAGTGGCACATCCAATCTTCTCATACTTTGAGGGATTGCCGCCGTCAATGTTTTCAGAGGAGCCACGCAGACTAAGCCAAGAGACCATCTCGCCGCCACTCCCTCCCTCCAGACACACACACACACACACACACACACACAACTGTCACGAGATCTCAAAAAACAAACCAAGTGGAAGTGGATGCGAAGAAGCAAGCTCCCCTCCTCTCGCTACCAAGGAAGAAGCGATGCTGCCAACAAGGGCCTTCGCCACGTCAGCGGCGACGACTCCCTTTTTTGTCCCTTCTTTTTAACAGGCAGTAGGCACAGTAAAGAAAGAAGCCGCGTAGAGGGGCTGCGCAGCCGCAGAAGCACACCAAAGGATGGTGTGAAAAAATGTCAGCCACGGAAAAGGGGACGCAGGAAGAATTCATATATATATATATATATATATTCTTGGGCCCGGCACCTGCCACACCCGAGACGCAGCTCATCCGCAGCCACACAACTGAGTAAGCGCCAAAATAATGAACGGAGAGAGACGGAGAGACCACAAATCAAAGAAGAAAAATACCAAGCAATGGAAGAACGGGGTGCAGGGCATATGCAAAGAACATAAATATGTGTGGGTGTGCGCGCCAAGAGGAGGTTGTGCAGACACTGGCGAATACATTAACAAGTAGAGAGCAGGAAGGTAGAATAAAAAATAAAAACAGAACAAAAACGGCAGACAAAAAAAATGTCCAGGACAAAAATAAAAAAATGTAGAAATGAAAAAGAAGAAAGCCAACCCTTTTGAAAAGTCTCGTCAGACACACACAAACTCAACTCTACGCAGACGAACCCCGTAGCCAAACCTCCCCCCTCTACAAAATTGGGGCTCACGCTCACTCGGCAACACTCCAGAACGTGTATGCCGCGACTAACAAGACGCCTTGCGTGCTGACGCAAACACGCCAAGAAACGCGCAACTTCAGGCTGAGCCCACTCTGACGGAAAATATCTGCAGCACGCCGCTGCGCTCGACAAGAAAAGGCACAACTGTACCCGCCGTTAAACGAGACACCTCATGCTGGAACTGCTCGAGGCTCTCCACACGCTTGTGATTGACCTTCCTTATAAAGTCTTGCTTTTCTATCCCAGCAAGGGCAGCAGGCCCTGTCACATCCACAACTAACACCCCATCGCCGTAATGGGAAGGGACACCATTGATCATGACACTATCCGTTGCCTCTACCCCAATCACTGGCACACCAGACCCACTCTCCGCATTGAAACTTCCGCTGCTGCATGGAGAGGCAGTGCTGTGACGCAAGAGGTGTTCCTGTGGCTTTCCTCTCGACTCCAAGTCACTCGCGTTCTCTACTGTACTGTGTCCATTTTTACTTGGACCTGTCACTAGCTGCAACTCCACGTCTTTCAGTAACGCTCCGAGTTTTTCTCGCCACTTGTTGAGAGAAATCACAAACTGGGGCGTGAGCACACTCAAGGTTGTGGGGAGGCTCGTTGGCAGGTAAATGCTGGTAGAAAGGAGAATAAAGTCATTCTTAATGGATGCCCCAACGCCACCGCCACACATCTCACGTCCCAGTAATGCTCCCTCCATCAAGAACTCGTAGACGCGCAGTCGCACATCCGGGTCAGACGGAATAGTTGCCAGGAGAGTGGAATACATATACAGCCTCTCTGTTATTGCATCAAAGGTTACCAATAAAGTGTACTGCCCGTCAACACTTATGACACAGGTGTTGTTTTCATCAAACTTCAACGCAGTCTCTAAGCCCAGCTCGCACCCCATGCAAATCAAGTTTTCTATCGCGTTTTCCCGCGCATCATACCTCTTAACATTACGATCCAACGCACCATTATCTTTGCCCGGTGGCGTCTGCTTCATCGCGTTGTTGGCTTCCCTTTTCGGAGGTGGCTCATCCTGGACGGCGTGGTCAAGGTGACCATCGGCATTGACATTGTCCTCACTCTTTACTAGCCCCGACGGCTCTCGGGCGTCGCCCTGCATATATAATTGCCTCGCATTCACCTGCGATTGCTGGGTGGGAGCATGGGCGTTGATGTTTTTGGGGTTTCCCCATGCCACGTCCTTATTCTCGAGCGCCGCGGGAGACAAATCTGATGAATCCTCACCGGGCCAGCCGCCCCTCTTAAGCCCCTTGTGCATCAACTCGGGTGGAGGCGACCTACCCACACGGTCATAGTACAACAGTCGATTTTGGTGCGACACAAGCCGGTTCAACTCGAGTTCTCTTCTGTCGCGGTCTGCCGCAAGAACTTGTTGCTCTATTTCAATCTCCTTTGCACGAATATTCACCTCACGCTCCTTCGCGCGCCGCTCGTACTCTTCCCGCGCCTTCTCCAGGCGCTCCTTCTCCGCCAAATAATTGGCCCGCTGTTGCTCTAGCAACGCCCTGCGGCGCTCGTTATCTATTTTCCGCAGCGTCACTGCTCGAGTCGCTTCCTCTTCCGCTTTGAGCAGCTCGCGTCGTGCAGCCAAGTCTGCTGCGCGCCGAGCCGCACGCTGCGCCTCTCTCTGTCGCAGCTGCGTCAAACGCAGCTTTTCCTTCTCGACAAACTCCTCCTGCTTACGAACCGCTGCCAAATCCCGCTCCGCCTTGTCCTTTTCGCGCTCAAGCAGCGCCTTCTTCCTCGCTGCCGCCTCTACCTGATCCTGCAGTCGGTCGATTTTTTCCTGAAGGGTGCTGTCGCACCCTGCGCCCTCGTCGCCAAGGATTTCCTCCTGGTGCCGCAGGGTTTGGTACTCCAGCGCCTGCCTGTGGGGCGAGAGAAACGATGCGGCGTGGTTGGTCGTCGGGTCGACGTTGGCGCGGTGCTCCAGAGTGAGGGTGGTGCCATCCACGATGCCGTAGGCGGCGCACTCCTCCTCGTCCCGGACAAGCGGGGTGCCGCTGAGCTTGATGACTTGTTCCGCAGCGGGAATCGAGCAGGCGTCGGCGGCGGCAAGGCACTGCTTCAGTCGTCCAATCGTTAGCCGCCCAATGTCCCCCTTGATGTTGAGTCTGAACCGCTTCCCGTCGTCGGGGCTGATGACGGTGAGGACGTTGCTCGCGCTCATTGGCTCCTTGGGCGTCGGCGCTGACCCGAAATGTGCTACGCCGAGAAAAGGCTCCCCGCTTTCTCGAGAGGAACGAAGGAAAAGCACAGTAAACCCCAAATAGCGTAGACAACAAACAGCAAGAACAAGAACAACAATAAAAAAAAACGGTACTGGCAGAAGAAAAAAAAAAACAAAGCCACCACGCCGTCCGCCCCGTCGTTTTGCCGTGCGCTTTTCCTCAGTCCTTCACCCGCCTTCCTGGCCCCTTCGCTGACACTAATCCACCCACACACACGCACACTCACACACGAAAGCAATGAAGCAACAAGTCTCTCGGCGCACTCAGCGCCACAGCAGGAAGGCGTCCAGCTGTTGACGCGCGTCGTCCGTAAAGAAACACCCAGTCCGTTGGCTCCGATACAACAAGGGTGTTCCGTTGTTTGCCGACGGTGCTAGAGAGGCCTCCAGCAATTGAGCTAAGCACCGCCCCTCACGCGTGAGGCCGATGACAGACCATGATAATGCAGTGCCGATTGCGGGCACACGAAAGTACCGCGGAAAGCATGACAAAAGAAGCGGGATCATCGCCAGGTCACCAATGTTGTCACGAACGTACGACCGGCTCGCGGGTTGGAGTCTGCTGCGGAGCGCCGTGAAGGAGAGAAAGCAGTCTTTATCACCGTTGTCGGCAAGGCGATCATCATCGTCATCATCGTCAACCTCGAGTCCAATCTCCTCGGCCCAACGCAGCTGCTCACGATGTAGGCAGCACAAAATTTCAAGCACCACCTTTGCGGGGAGAAGCTTCCGGTAGACGAGCGGTGGTTCCTCCGATAGTGTGCGGGGGCGGATGCACGGCAACTGTGTAGGTGTCGTTAAGTCGTAGAAACCATCCACATACTTGTTAAACACGATTGGCTCCGGCTTTGCCTCATTGCCACTCTCGGCACCCCTTTTACTGTTGCCATCCCAACCACCCGTCCCGTGGCCTGCATCGCATTGTCCATATGGAAAGAACAAGCACGCAACACTCTCCTCTGTTTCGTGTTTAAAAAGAGGCGAAACACGACCCTGCAGACCCCCAAGCAGGATATCGTGCAGCTGTTCATATTGCCGCGGGCTAAATTGGCGCAAAAGATGCTGCACAAATGCACTATTGGCGGATGCACCAACAGGGTAACTCAGGCTTTGCAGTGCAAGCGCCAGGTTTGGGTCGGGCGGCGTCACAATTGCTGGCGTTGTCACCAACTCCTCATAGACGGCAGCGTGGAGCCTGCAGAATGCGTAGCTCCACACATCCTCTTCTTGCGTTTCCTCCCCGTTTGCGGCCGCTCCCACAGTAAGGTCGTCTGCCACGGAGTAACTGTGGGACGGCCACTTCCGCCAATTCGCCCTGCGCCGTGGCATGCGGGGCTCTTCGAGCTCCGCCTGCAGGTCTGAAAGCAAGAGACGTACATGCACTTTTTCCTCTGCGCGCGGGAGAGGCGTTGACGCCGCGGTTGTGGGTTGCGGGTTAACCCGACGGCGAAGAAATAAGAGGCCCATTTCAGACGCGGAACCGATGTTGGTGGCGGGGCGCTGCAGATGCCGTCTTTGGTGCTGGTGTTGCGGCGGAAGTAGACGTCCCCAGCGACACTCCACGCCCAATGCACTGAGAGCCGAGAGTAGAAGGCCATCGCGAAGCTTCGGCATATCGCTATAATCCAAAGTCAGTAGAGGGGCGAGGTTCGGGCACTTTGCCAACGCCCGATCACGTATGGCGGCAAAGTCGACGAATCCATCCTCAGTTCCTGCCGCCACCGAGGAGGAGCAAGTTCCCCCACGACTTCCGTCGCCGACGGAGGCGGTCACTGGAATGAATTCCAGAAAAGGAACTAGACACCGCGAGAGCCGGTAGCGCTCCACCGCGGCCGGCGCAATAAACCGCCTCCCCATGTGTACAACAGTGTCTTCCCCCACAGATGCAAAACTAGCAGGCACATAATCAGGCGCCGTCTTCGCAGTCGCCTCTGTGCTCGTGGTCCTTGCGATAGCTTCATTGACACATGCGGCTGATGCTACGAAGCCTTGCAGCGGCTTCTGCGTTGCCGAATTTGCGGTCGACGAAGTTACGGGTGAAAAACCTCTCCCACCTCCTACGGAAGAGGGAAGCAGTTGCACCATTGTACCATTCTTCGTTATGGCAAAGACGTCGTGTGTGTAGACCAGCAGCAGTCGCCTGACGTCGTTGGCGAGCTCGTGACGTATAAAAGAAACCGCGGTTGGGCTCAGCGACACACGCCGGATGGCCGCCATCGGCACTGCCCTTCTCACTGCGACGTCTTGTGGTTCCAAGGAGAACAGGAACGCAGCTATATCGACGGCCAACTCCCGGACGCCGGGCCGGAGGCGCAGAAAAAATGTCCCGCCGCCGGCGTCACATGCCCCTTCGCGTTGAACGCTTCCACGCTGCAGGGACGTGAATACAAAGACGCCGGAGCTCTGAATTCGACTTGCGATCTGCCGCCTATTTTCCTCCGCAGCAGTACTGTTCTCTGAAAACCGCACTACTTTGGAATCCCCGCCGTCGCCGCGTGTGACACCAGCCGGGAGTAGGCGCAGCAGCAGCGACTGGAAGTGCTCCTCAAGGTACTCCAGTGGAACAGGAGGATAGAACGGCACCTGGGGGCCGCTTCCTCCCCCTGTATTACTATGGCTTGGCGCCGTTGGTGCCACCGCATTGCAGGCTCGGAGGTGCTTCTGGTAGGCAACAAGGACGTCCGTCAACGCAACGATGATTTCGTCCACGTCGAGCAGCGGCCGCCGCGACGCCAAGAGCGGCTCAGGGTGCACTTCTAACGATGAGGCTGTGGGTGTCTGCTGCTGCTGCTGCCGAGGTGGCGGCGGTGGGGGCATGCGCTTCACGGAAGACGCTGCGGGCCTCCCTGTTCTTTTCGTTCCCCCGCCGCTCACAATGGACCGCGCTGGCGTCTGCCACGGGGTGCGTTGGCCCTGAGAGGGCGCCGCAACAGTGGCGCCCCCGCACAAGCAGCATCCAAGCCGTGACAACTTCGGCCCAAGAAGATGCGCCGTCCTCATGGCCGTGCCGAGGGCCGCGTCCTCTCCAACCGGAAGTGCACCTGCTGGCCAGAAGAGCACCCGCGGGACGAGCCGCAACCTTGCAAGAACACCCCCGCTCCCCCGCGCTCCTCTCCCTCCCCAAACACTCAAACACGGAAAATAAATAACGCAAAAAAGAAAACAACAACATGAAAAACGGAGAAAAGGCCAAGAAGGGAAAAAAGACAGAACCAGGTCTCGCCCAACAGGCACATGTATACCTTAGATGCACGGAGAAAAAAAAACAAGAATGGAATAATACCGCACTGGGCGAAAAGAAAACGCCCTACCACCAGTGGCAATGCAACAATATGTCGTAATGTCAGTCATTCCTGCAACTAAAAAATAGATGCATAACGAAAGACGCGCCGAGGCACGAAGAAAGCATCCTCAGCGGACAAGTAATTCGCAAAGCACCGGAGGGTAAGGCGGCTCTGGTGTGTCCGTCACCGCCGGCGTTGGCATCGTCGATGAAGGTAAAAGCAAGGGCTGAGTTCTTGCCGGCGGTAGTGGCCACAACAGAGTTGAAGGTGTCTGCGCGTCGCACAGCTCTAACCCTCCCTGCAACGTGATCCATCCCGGTTGCCACGGGAGAAGCGACACAGAAAAGGTTATGGTTCCACGGGGATCAATGAGACCTAAAGGACTTAGTAGTGGGCCTGCATACAAGAAGGACGGCGCTAACAGATCAGGCCGCACCCGCAGAGACAAATCAAACTGTTTCTCCGTGTCGTAGTTCACAACAACGCACTCGAGGGATGTGGGCTCTCCGGCCCTTGGTGTGTCTGGAGTCACGTTTCGCACAAAAAAATCCAGCGTTGGCTGAAGGAAGAGGTGACCAAGTTGCACTCGGCTACTGCGCTCCGTGCCGCTATCACCGTTGGCCCGAGACCACTTCCATTCCACGTATCCAACATCTGTAAGGTTTGGAGACGCCACTGCCCCGGCAACACCAGAGGCAGTGTGACGCAGTGGAAGCGAGCGCAGGCAATCCGGCTTTATAACTAGTTCAAAATAGTAATAATGCTTGTCCTTTGGGCGCAAATGAACGTCTTCCAGGGTGCCCGTTCCACCACCGGTGTGGTGCATGCTAAATGCCTCCTCATGATGCGTCGTCTTCGCCACGCCGGCAGGCCACCACGACGGCGGAGTCAAATCTAGTTTCGCAGTGGAGTGGCGCGGCGGTGACAAAACCTGAAAAGCGCCCCCCGTGTGGAGCTTTACGCCCAGAAGAACCAAAGGCACCGATGACACATTTTGCAGGCACATGGATAGAACGTATTTTTTGGTTGGCAAGGCTATATTTGACATCACTTCCTCAGCCGTGGGACCCGTCGCGCGCAGCTGCGTAAGCCGGTTCTCCTCATGTCGAGCTACGATGGGAATAACCTGAAGAGCCCGATTCGTTTCTATGATGGCTCGCTCCGCCTGAATGCTAAACGACCAGGTTAGACGCCTTGTCTCCTTGACGATATCGACGTAGGTTACCAGCACATCGAGGGTGTGCTGGCCTGGCTCCTTCAGCGCGCATTCCACCGTGAAGGACACGTTGCCTTTGCCCTCCAGATGAGGGCACTCGTAGTCAACAATCCTTGACCGATGCAATGTCGGGTGCAGGCACCCAATGGAGAAGCCCATGGAGACGAGCGGATACGTCGCCGCGTTGTGGAAGCTTAAAAATGCTCGGAATGGTTGGCCTACAAAAAACTTGCCAATAGAAGCGGGTAGCGCGAGAACAGAGCCAACCCCGCACACCGAGAGGGAGGCTGCCTCACCGCATCGCCGCGCCGCAGGCTTGACGTCGCTGCTCTCGCCAGCAACCCGAGGATGGTGCAGTGGGTTGGCAAGCACGTCAAAGAGGATATCGCCTTCCTCTACCAACTCGGGTGTCATCGCGTCAAACAACTCCGGCCGACGGAGCACCGTTGCCCGTATCGAAAGCGGGTTTGCGAGCACAGCAGGAACGTAACTCGTTGCTGAGAGCAGCGAGGTCGTCCCGCCACTGGCTACCTTTGCTTCATTTGCACTCGCGGACGCCGTGGCGCTGCGTGATGACATCTCGCTTGGATCAGCGCATCCAAGGAGGAAGCAGAAGCACGGGGAAAGGAAGGAAATATATATGCAGAAGCAACTGTAATAAAATATGCGTTACCACAACGTCGGGGAAACAGCAGAAAAAAAAAGTGACGAAAGAAAGGTGCCGTCGGACTGTAGTAGAACGGCACCTTTCGCGAGGCTCAACTGTGGGCAATTGCGACACGAAAGGTGGAGACTCTGACATGAAACGAATTTGGAAGATAAAGACGCTGGCAAAACCGTGAAAAAAAACAACAACAAAAAAGACATCATTTTTTTTTTCCTTATCTCGGAAGGAGGGGGGGGGGCAATTCCATTGGCGGCAGCCAAGAAAATTCATAGGGTTAACCAGGCCCACATCACGGTTCTTCAAGCCAATGTCTTTTTTTTTATGGAACGGAATCCGGTGTTTCTACCAATCATCATCCTCGTCGTCCATGAGCCTCGGGGGAACCTTACCCGGCACTGGCGGTGGTGGAGGTGGGGGCAGGGCTGCCTTTACAGCAGGGGGTGGCGGTGCCGCGGCCACTTGGGGAGCTGATTCCTTGGTGGCCCGAATGCCCTTTGAGGGGGCAGACGGGGGTACCTCGTCCTCATCCTCGTCCGAGTGCATTCCGAGAATGCCCCTCCGGCGATTTGCAAGAAGGGAAGACAGTGTATCCAAGTTGCTCTTCGGCGCCACCTTGGGGGCCGGTCTAAGCTCCGCCGTCTTTGGCGGCGGCCGTGTGACGGCGCTCTTCGCTGGCGGCGGCGGCGGTGGCGGTGGCGGTGCAGGAGGGGGGTTACCAAGCACAGGAAAAGCCCTGGCAGCTGGCTGCACGGAGGGTGTCGGCAGCGGAGGAGGAGGAGGAGGAGGAGAAGGGGTCGCCGTCATCGCCCTTGCCTTCGCTGTTGCTGTTGTGGACTTAGCCATCATCATCGCCGGTGGCGGTGGCGGTGGCGGTGGCGTTGGCGGAATCTTCATACCCTTCAATCCGGGCGGCGGCGGTGGCGGCGGCGGCGGCGGTGCCTTTCCTGTGGGCGGCGGTGGCGGCGGCAACGCAGCTGGCGGTGGGAACTCCGACGCAGCAGCGGGGGGAAGCAACGACGGCCGCGTGGGTGCAGCTTGTGGACCGGAGGTGATTGCTAGTGTGTGTCCATGCGAGTTTCTACCGCCACGCGGAGACCTCGTGTTCTCTGTTGCCGTCTCACTCTCCTCACCAAGCCGCCGCTGCCAGCTGGGCGCAATATTATCCCCGGCCTCCAGCGTGTACGCGTGCCAAGCAACT